TAACATCTTGTGGGTTTTGCATTCTCATGAGCTTAGGTCTGTAAATTCCAAGGGCACATTTCACATCTTTCTCAGTAAATTATATTTCTGGCACCTTAATTTTTGGAATAAGGTATCCTAATAAGTCAGTCTTATCTGCATTCTCCCAAATGCCTCTAATCCTTAAATTGTTTCTTCTGTTTCTATGGTGAACATCGGCCAAGTCCAATTTCATGTTCATCAAAACCTTTAAAAATATGCTAATATCAGTCTTATTTTTATAGCAGTGAGCCTTGCTGGCTATCTGATCAGTCTCTGAAATCTGATTAGTCATATCTTTGAATTGCTTTTTAATATGGTTAGACATACTTTCAAAGTCTTTACAAAGTGCAGTTGTTCATTTATCCCATTCTAATTTTAATTGAATGGTTGGTTGGTAGGTAGGTAGGTAGGTAGGTTGGTTGGTTGGTTGGTTGGTTGATATTTCCTATTTCTAAATCACCCATCTCCCTCAAAGAAGGAGTCTGGGCGGCATATAATAAAACATAGAAATATAAACTAGTATATAAAACATTAAAACAGTAAAGTTAAAATGTCGGTTAAAAAGTTTAGCTCCTTCTGGAAAGTAAGGTGGGATATAAATGTATTAACATTAAATAGTTTGAACAGCCAAGGAAATTACAGCCAAAAAAAAAAAAAAAGATCAGTAACATTTTTCTTTTAAAGAATTGCAGCCTACATACATTATAGCAGAGATTCCACTAAGAATATTTTGTGCAGTTAAAGGATATTCAGTGGGGATACTTGAGCGATACTAGGCAATAGCTACTTTGAAGTAATCTAGATAGGCCAAGACCTTGATATAATCTGACTCAGTCCTGCTGGTGGAAGGTCTCTGAACTCAACAGTAGATTGTAACTGCTGTAGATGAAGCTATAATTCAGACTTGCTGACAACAGCTTCTTTATGCCTATAAAAGGTATGAGAGATGTCAAAACAGACAAATTGTCGGACTTCATATGGCGCCCGGCAATAAATGTTGACTCTCCAAAAACTCAACTAGCTAAAAACAGCAGCTTTGTAACTCAATATTGCTATCTAAGCTAAAGTTGCTAAATTGCAGATGTGAACAAACTCACATACTGTATGCACAGAAGATCTGATTCCTGCAGAATCAAAATCATATATCTAAGGTTGCTTCAAGATGTAAATCCAAGATGTATTTATTTGTTTGATCTATTTAATTATATTTGTAGCCTTCCCCATCCTGTCTGATTCTGGGTGGGGTACAAACAAGTAAACAATAAGACACCAAAACCCAGTACAAAGACTTAAAATCATTAAAAACCAAGTAAACATAAAGGGTCTAGATGCCACATAAATTAAAACACAAAGTTGTTATTTATGAAAAAACGAATAGGATTGAGGCTACCAATATTCCAGGAAAAATTGTTCTTTAACATCAAGGACATTGCAGAGAAAGCTTGTTGCTTAAGCTAGACAGCTGTGCACTTTGTGAAGGGAAGGGACAGTCCCACAACAGGCCCTCTCTCAATGGCCAGACTGGATAAGCAGATTCAATTTTGGCAAGTTATACCTGAAATATCCTGGTGCTACATCATAAAGGCTTTACAAAATGATAACCAGCATTAACACTTGGGCTCAGAAGCCAAAATGGTAGCCAATAAAGCGGCTTCAGAATGGGTATTACAGGAATTTATGTTATACAGGGTGTTATGGCTGTACAGGAGTTTCCATTGTACAACTTATAGCTTCCCAGTCACCTCCAAAGGCAACCCTATGTAGAGCACCTTGTAGTAGTCTGAGTGAATGGTAATCAGGGAGTCTTGTCCAGGTAGAGATGTAACTGGTACACCCGCTAAAGTTGGGTGAAGTTTTTCCTAGTCACTGTTAGATTAGCCATTTATTTTTAGTAGGATTTCATCTGTGCTTATTTTGCTCTTATGTTGTCCTGTTCAGATCTTCATAGTCTCTAGATACCAGTCTTTTTTGTCCCAGTCCTTTAGAATCAGTGGAATTTTGGGTAATTCTCTCAGCCAGAGTGTCAAGATAATGGCTTTATCTCTTTATATAATGGCTAAGTCTTGCATGAAATTCATTGGTTCCCACGTTGCCTGTTTCAACCCTAACACATATCACTATCTGATCAGTATTAGCATGATTTGATTGCTTATTTGTACCCTATGACTATCATTAAGTGTTGTACCTTATGATTCTTGATTTATTTATTTATTTAATCAAATTTCTATACCGCCCTACTCCCGAAGGACTCAGGGCGGTGAACAGCCAAGATAAAATACAGATAATACAAATATTAAAAATCCCTTAAAATTATTAAATAATTTGGCTGAAACACAGATTAAAACACCCAATTTATAAAATCACGAATTAAAAAATTTAAAAAAATTTAAAAGAGGGGAGTTAGGCCTCTTTGATGAATGTATCTTGTCTTTTTATGTACACTAAGAGCATATGCACCAAAGACAAATTCCTTGTGTGTCTGTGTCCACAGTTAGCCAATAAAGAATTCTATTGCTCTGTTCTGTTTTGTTCTGTTCTGTTCTGTTCTATTCTATCTCTTATTTTTTGTTCCCCACTTAAATAAAAATGATTTTCAATAAAAATGAAGGTCTGATAATTTAACATGAAAATCACTATGATCTAATAATAGAATTATTCAAAACAGAAATTGGACCTCATACAGAGATAGACTTCTAACCAGCATTGGTTAAGTCTCACTTATCATAGTGTGAGAAATCTCCTCTAACAACTTTGCAGATAAATTTTGTCAAGTAATATTTCATTTTATAACAAATGTTTATTAATCAAAATGGAAGTTATATTTAACTGTTAATTTATTTTATCAGTTTATATTACTGGTTGCATTCCTGTATTCACTTACCTAGCAATAAGTCCCATTGACCTCAATGAAACTCACTTCTCAGTTAGGATGTAAAAGGAATCTTTCACTGATTTATTTTGAAACAAAATGGTATCATCCGACAAAACAAAGTATGTTGTGTAATGGTACAGAGTCCACCTAATGTACACCTTATATCTTTCCTAACTAAAAAAAAAAATCAAATAAAAATGAGCACAGTTTGGAAAAAAATGTATATAAAACAGAGAAAGAAGAACAAAACAACAACTGAGAAATTGGATACATACAAAAATCCTCCAAGATATCAGAGACAGTCAGATAAAAATATTAGAGGGAAGATTACTTTACAGCAGGGGTGTCAAACTCGATTTCATTGAGGGCCGCATCAGGGTCATGTTTGACCTCGAGGGGCCTGGGTGTGGCCAGTGTGGGTATGGCCAACTCAACATCACTCCTGTCAGGGGTGCCTGTGGTGGCCTGAGTGCTCTGCCAGTGAAAACAGGCTCCCAGTTCCGTTTTCGGCTGCAACAGCCTCCAGCAACCAGAGGTTGTATTCAGCAGGTTCTGACAGGTTCTGGAGAACCGGTAGCGGAAATTTTGAGTAGTTCAGAGAACCGGCAAATACCACCTCTGGCTGGCCCCAGAGTGGGGTGGGAATGGAGATTTTGCAATATCCTTCCCCCAGGAGTGGGGAGGGAATGGGCTTTTGCAGTATCCTTCCCCTGCCATGTCCACCAAGCCATGCCCACCAAGCCACACCATGCTCACCAAGCCACACCCACAGAACCGGTGGTAAAAAAATTTGAATTCCACCACTGCCAGCAATCCTCTGCAAGTGAAAACAAAGCTCAAAAGGGCCAGCTGTGGTCCTTCTGAGCTCTTTTTTCACTGGCAGAGGCATCTCAGGGCAGAGGCACCAGTCCTTTGTGTTTCCAGGGCCAGATTCCCCGCAGGCCAGATCCGGTCTGTGGGCCTTGAGCTTGACACCCCTGCTTTACGGGAATATTTAGTGTTATGGAAATATTTGCAGATTTTTTTTTTACTGTCAGAAAAAAATAATTGATAGAGAGAGCTAATAGTCTACTTAGAGTCATGGAATACATTTGGCTGAGCTGTAAAAATCTTAGTTCCGAATACACTATTTATTTATTGAAGCACTTTTTCCTATTAAATAACAAAAGCAATCTAGAAAACATAAGCTTCATATTTCTTTCATTACACAATATAAAGTTGAACAATTAATGATAGTGTTAAAGTGCAAATTTCAGCTTTTCAAACCAACTAAATACTACCGGTATTTCAGCAATTTATGGAGTATACATAATGCATTCATAGCACTGTTACTGTTACCTGTAAAAACATTTCCTTTTGAACATTTCAATTGTCTTTCATTAATTTAAAATATTACCACCATAAGTTTGTAAATTTCTATTATTTTATTTCTTTACAACAGACAAATATTAACACATAAACACACAACATGGCAATTACTGTGGTTTATTTTGAGCCTTACTAACGAAGCTTTATGTAGCTGAATACAAAACTGGCTCATTCTGCAGCATCCCATCTGATTCCCTTACTATTATTAGTAATCACTTAATATTACTTACTATTATAGCCCCTTCTTATTCTGGTAAATGGTATATTTCTTTCAAGGACAACCTCATCCAAACACAACTTTTCTGTTCATTGTTATCACTCTAAATCAGTAGTGGGTTGCCTCTGGTACGCACTGGTTCTATAGAACCGGTCGTAAAACCGGCAGGAGGCTCCGCCCACCGACCCCAACGTCATTAAAATGCTTCTGCGCATGTGCAGAAGAGCGCACGCACGAGTAAAGCAAGCGTGAGCGTGCGGCCCCACTGTGAACCAGTAGTAAAGGTAAGTAGAACCCACCCCTGCTCTAAATCCACAACAAATAGCTTCCTGCCTTGGAGAAAATAATGTAAAGTGCAACATCAGTGCTATGTAATTTATAAAACATGCTAAAAATGCATGCAATAATGTTGGAACCTTTAATCTAAAGTTTTAAAAAGTTTGCTATCTCACCCTAACATGCTGAAAGAGATTTCTGAGTGGGTAAGGTAAGATTAAAAGATTAAATAAATAAACAACTCACCTGCGATTTCTTCTAAAGAATTTGCTCTCATGTCTAGTAAGACTGTGCCATTAAGGATACAACTTCTCAATTCAAACAAGCTATGAAGTGATAAAGTAGCAACATATGGTTTACTCCACCTCTCCCCGCCATCTTCAACATCTTCTTCAAACTTCAACCACCTAGATAAAGAAAACTTTTTAGTCAGATTTCCTCAGCTAAAGAGTAAGTATGCAGTATGACAACCACACATAGAAAACAATCCACAAATAGTAGGTAGTATATAGTATGGGAGGAGATATAAGAGGAAAAAGAGAATTGCCAAATCCATCTTTCTAGGTTTCTAGTTTCTGGGATCAGATAGCCTACTATGAAGAGGAGATTACCACTAATCCATCTTTGTTTCTTAATTTTTGACTCAGTTTATATTAGGAAAATTATACTACTGCTATAAAGTTATGAATTCTATATTACAAGGATTTCCAAGATTGTATAGGTAGCAGTGACAGGAAAAAATGGTATATAATTGTTAGAAAGCCTATCACTTTATTTCAATTTCTACCTTCAACTAAGAATATATTAGAATTTTGAGAGCAGCTTTTGGCATTCTTGCTAAACAATTACTATGCTGGACATCCTATGGAATTTTTCATTTAAAAGCACGGAAACCAATGATGAAAAATATTCCTTTTTAAGGTTTTCCTTAAAAAAAATGAACTGATGAATTTTGATCCACATAGACAATTTCAGTGGTTTCTCCCCAAACACATTTACTCAATAATTGTATTCCAGACCATTTCCACACTATCTTTATTCAACTCAGAATCAAAGGATTTTTTTTTTCTGCTTATGTTTGTGGCTCCTCTTATGACTATCTTATACTGTGGTATGTAGATTTAGGATAGGGTAAATACATTCTTGGAGATCCAGGAAGATGAAGCAAGAATTGATCAGATGGAATGTAATCAACTAGTGCACTAGTGGATAGTTTTCCCCTGCACTGAAAGACCCATTTAAGATATATTCCTCAACATACTTTTTAGCATCCACTACAAAGTATACACCATCCATAAACTACTAAAAAGTATACACAGGAACTAACATACTTTCCTGGAACATTGCTGGATGGCATTCAAAGTGTAGGGATAGTTCTTTCATGGATTATGTATATCTCTGAATATGATATCATATGATATCACGGTAACGTAGTGGTTAGAGTGCAGTATTGCAGGCTACTTCTACTGAGTGCTGGTTGCCTGCAATTTGGCAGTTCAAATCTCACCAGGCTCAAGGTTGACTCAGCCTTCCATCCTTCTGAGGTGGGTATAATGAGGACCCAAATTGTTGGGGACAATATGCTGACTCTGTAAACCACTTAGAGAGGGCTGTAAAGCACTGTAAAACCGTATATCAATCTAAGTGGTATTGCTATTGCTATTATGTTATGGGCGACCTGCTCAACTGAAGACAGAATGCCTGATAAGTACATTGTACAATCTCATAAAGTTAGCAGTGCTAGGAAGTGGGGCTATGCATTTATATTCAAATAAGATACAACCAGTGATGGCCAAATTAGAATACAGCAGTCAGTTTGCTATGGTTATAAATCTCCAACTTAGACTTTGTGACTTCATAATCATGAATATATTTCTTCTTCTTCAGCCACTACAAAAACATTTAATAGATGCCAAAAGTTATGATGACATTAGCTGGAGATTCCGAAAATAATGGAGTTAACTTTTTTGGAACCCATTATATAAAAGTATAACTTATTATTGATAAACCCGTTCAAAAGGCTGTGTTGTTTCAGCAGAAGCCATGTTATAATAAAAACAACACCCTAGGCTCAAACTCTTTTGATACAGCATAATGACTTGCTTAATACTGACTGAATTATTTTAGCTACATCTGTTGTGTTTTTAGAAGGAGCGTTCATATGATTAACCAACAGATTCATGGTGAGACAAATTAGTTATTTTATTTATTATCTTTTTTTTACTGTCAAGAATGTTACTTGGATTTTTTTTTGCCAATAACTTAGCTGAAGGAGAGGGTATTATCTGCAGCTCTGCCTCAGTCAGTAAAATGTCTTGGGACCATTCCCTGCCTTCTAAAAAAACATAGAAAAATCTAACAATTTCCTTACTGAAATGATAAATCTGTTACTTTCTGAGTAAGTGAATCACAAACATCCTGGTCAAACTTAAACATACCATTAAAGATTTCAGAAGCATTATCTTGATTAATACATTCTGCCAGATCGGTTAATCATGAAGCAATGGGTTCCATCCTGAAGTTGATCAGTCTCTCACCTAGGTTGACTTATATCACTGGTTTATCCATTATTGTTTAGCTTCTCTGTTTACAGACAGAGCATGTAGAAAAAGACTTACCACCTTTTTCTCTGAGGAGAGCATTCCATAAATTGCCACCCTCCCCAGTCCAATTTAGGGCTTGATGGTTGTTCACAACTGAACCCAGCAACAAGTTGTTATCAATAATATTTTGATTTATATCCTGATTCTATACCACATCTGAGATATCGCTTTCCCTTCCAAGGCCAGTCCCTCTGTTTCCGTACCTATTAAACTATGATTAACCTTGTCAATTTTTCATTGAAAAACTCTAGAGAAAAATGAAGTTAAAGTCAGGTATATAAAGTCAGGTATATAAATGGAAAAGTTTGCTGTTTATTGCATTGGATTTATCAGATACACAGACAGACACACATACACACAACTCCATGTACCAGTCCCACCTTTTCTACTTGAAAATTCTTTTTGAAGTTTTGAACCCTCATAACTCACTCCAACCACAGCTTTCTCATTTTCTTTGGCATTTATCCCACTTCCTTCCTCTTCTTTATTGGTTTTGTAATTTGAAACTCAGTCAATTTGAAATTTCAGTCCAATCAGAAACATTTCTACCAATCCATCAATAGAGAGACTGTAATAAACCAATCACCACCTCACAAAGAAGAAACAGCGCACTTCTGGGCACAGCTATGGGACAGCCCAAAGAAATACAAAAAGAATGCAACCTGGCTAAAGAAGGTAGATAAGAATAAAAAAGAAGTTGAAATGAAAGACCTTTTAATAAAAAGCAGAAAACGTGAAGAAAAGAAAGGAAGGAAGGAAGATCAAGAATTGGTCAGCATCAGGTGACAATGAACTGCATGGTTTTTACTTGAAGCAAGTCTGAGTCTAAACTTGGTGGAGGAAACGTTATCAAGTCAATTAACACCTGGGTAATTCATTAGATTCACAGCTGGAATAGTGGATTGGACTCAAGTAGAACTAAAAATTCTGGATAGGAAGACCAGGAAAATAATGACAATGGATCATGCTCTTCATCCACACAGGAACTTTGACAGACTCTAGTTACCAAGGAGCATAAATGGATATAGAATATTGCAAATATACCACGTAGTCGAAGGAAGAAAGAAAGGGCATTGGAAGAATATTTGAAGGACATTTGCCCTTTGTGCTTCTTCAACTTAAAAGAGCCTTGGTACTACAGTGGTTTAAAGCACCCTGTTATTAACACAGCTGCCTGCAATTTACTGCTGGTTCGAATCTCTCCAAGGCTCAAGGTTGACTCAGCCTTCCATCCTTTCTAAGGTAGGTTAAATGAGGACCCAGTTTGTGGGGGCAATAAGATGACTTTGTATAAAATATACAAAAGAATGAAGGCTATTGCTTAACGCACTGTAAGCCGCCCTGAGTCTCCGGAGAAGGGCGGCATATAAATCAAATTAAAAAAAAAAAAAAACTGTCTAGTATATTTACAACATTACACCACGCAGGCTTACCAAATACCATAAAGACCAAATGGCCTACAAGAACAACCAACAGAAAAAAAGAAAAGAGAGCATTACATGGCCAATACCTTTAAAAAATATAAGGCAAGGGAGATAATAACAAATCTTGGCAATGACTAAAAGCAGGAAACTGAAAAAAGAGACAGAGTGGCTTATTCTGGTTGCACAAGACCAACCCTTAAAAAATGCATAGAAAGCCAGAATTGAGAAGACAGCAACAGACAGTGTGTCACCTCTGTAAAGAAGCTGAAGAAATAGCAGACCATCTAGTTAGCTGCTGCAAGAAGATCACACAAACAATGGCATGACAAAGTAGCAACAATACACATTGGACGACATGCAAGAAATACCATTTGCCTGCAAACAAGAACTGTAAAAAATAGACACTGTAATAAAAAATGAAGAAAACCAATACTCTTAAAACTTTAGACTTCAAGCAGACAAACTACTACCACATAATACCCCAGACTTAACTGTTGATAAGAAAGACATAAAGGTCTGGATAGTGGATGTGACAGTACCTGGAGACAGCAGAATAGAAATGAAAGAACTGGGGAAAATTACAAAATACAAAGACCTGTAATTAAAACTAGAACGACTGTGGCAAAAGAAAGCAAAGGTAGTACCAATAATAATAGGCACTTTGGGTGCAACCCCAAAATCTCTGGAGCACCACAAGAACACCATCAGCATGGACAAAATTGCCATCAGTCAATTGCAAAAGGCAGCTTTACTTGGAACAGCTTACGTCCTGCAATGATATCTTTAATATTATTAAACAACAACATCTGCCTATCCCAGGTCCTTGGGAAGGACTAGTGTTAGACAGACAAAAATGACAAATCCAGTCTAAACATCTGGCTGAATGTGTGATCAACCATAATAATACATAAGTAGATGGGCATGAAGGCAAAACCAACTGAAGAATTGTCAACTGTGACTTCACATTCTTGTGTACATAATAATGCATTTATGACTTTTTCATGGATATTTCATGCTATTAAACCTTCCCAAAATCGGTGTGCCTTTCTTTCCTCACCATACTTTTTTTTCTCACCATATTGTTTATGGAAAAAGAACTCTTTGCCTGACTTCCCTGATGAGACATGTCCATTATGGTTGAAATTCTGACATAGCTCTCATCCTCCTCAGAGAGTGGGTGAGCCTCACTACCTAGTTAAGGTAGGCCCTAGGCTTACATTCCATGTCAAAATCATTAATACTATCAAAACAACAACATATGCCTATCCCAGGTTCTTGGAAAGGACTCAACAAATGGATAAAAATGTCAAATTCAATCTAAACATCTCGTTGACTGAGCAACCAGTTATATTAATAAAAAGTTAAATCCTGATTTTGAAGAAAACTGAATGGTCCAATAACTCTAATTCTACACAGACTTAAACTATATGTTTGATTTCAAGAGCTGTGGTAGTGCAGTGCTTAGAATGCAGTATTGTAGGTTAACTCTGCTCACTGCCATGAGTTCAATTCCTTAGATCTTGATTGAGTCAAGGTTGACTCATCCTTCCACCCTTCCAAAGTCGGTAAAATGAGGACCCAGATTGTTGGTGGCAATATGCTCACTCTGTAAACCGCTTAAAGAGGGCTGTAAAGCACTGTGAAGTGGTATATAAGTCTAAGTGCTATTGCTGTTGCTAAATCTAAATGTGTATATGTTTTTTCTGCTGATATTCACTGTGGAAGGAAAAAAATCTCATTTACCTGGCAGTCTCCCTCCACTCGGCATCCTCTCCTTCTCTCAAGCAAAGTTCATCAAGCTCAGTGAATAAATCATGTGGGATGTGCTCCTCATCGTCATCTTCTGTTCCAAGAATAAACTGCACCCTCTGTGAAGGAGTATCTAGGGAGAAAAAAGAGCAGTACTAAGAAAGTTAATCAGAAGACATGAACTTACCAAAGGAGCTGAATAGCCAGCATTATGATTTGGTAGAAACATTATATACATCATAGAAGGCAAACATTATATGATAGAATGATTTGAGCCGAGGTGGCACAGTGGTTAGAGTGCAGTACTGCAGGCTACTTCAGCTGACTGCTAGCTGCAGTTCAGCAGATTGAATCTCACCGGCTCAAAGTTGACTCGGCCTTCCATTCTTCCGAGATGGGTAAAATGAGGACCCAGATTGTTAGAATTTGCTAACTCTGTAAACCAGTGTAAAAGCACTATGAAGCGGTATATAAGTCTAAGTGCTATTGCTATTGCTATAGAAGACCAATGTGAAATTTCAAGTATATTCATTCATTCATTCACAAAATGGCTGCCATTTGACGGATATTTGTCAGTTGATAAGTTAGTAACATAAATGAAAAATACCCCTTTACTAAAAGACAAAGATATGCTTTCTTGTACCATCCCATCCAACATCCCAGCAGCTCACCTCTTTTCTTTTCAGAGTAGGTATTTCCAAACATAGCACTAGACCAACCCTACCCCCATACCATTTTATTAATCATCATCATCATCTTCTTTTAATGACCCCCCCCCCCAATCCCTTGCAGGGTGGAGTCTGGGCAACTGAATGGAGCTAGCAGAGTGTTTTAATGTCTTTCCTGTCACCAATGTAAAGTTTTGTTCAGTAGATATATTCTCATTGTGCCCAGAGAGAGAAATATCTGCCTCTACCTAGGCAGATATTTCTCCTAGGATTTCTCCTACCTAGGATCGAACTCACAGCCTCCTGATTGTGAGGCAAGAGCTTCACCTCTAGGCCACCGCACAGCATCACTCCACACCATTTTATTAATGATTTCTATAAAATACCTCAAGCACTTAATAGAATGGGCAGAGCCTGGCTAGTGCAAAGGAAATGTCAGTGGTCATATTGGTGCTTATGCTGATGTAGATAAAAATTGTTAAAGTAGACATGGTCCCTATTAAGAGTTCTCTTAGGAACGAATTAGTTCCTGAATTCTTTTTATCTTTCCACTGGGGAGAGGAAATGTTCACTATAAAAGTAAGATGAATTTAAACATGACAATGAATAAATGTAATTACATTTGCTTTAAAAGGGAATTGAATGTGTGGCTGTCTAACAAGAATAAACTAAAGATAAGCAAAATTCATTGACTAGGAAAAAAATATTCTGTGGAATATTCCCTTCTCTCTAGATTATCTTAAAGTTCCTCTGGATTTTGTTCTGGGGACTGTTTAGTGATTTGATGAACTGGAGGCAGTCTGAAGAGGTCCATTGTGATTCAGCCCCCCCAAAATCTGTTCCACCTGTAATGCCATGTCCAGAATACTTTGTCCTACTTCTGATTCAAAGGATTTACTTTCCAGAGGATTCATTTCCAGAGGAAATTTAGCACAGTCGTGGAATGAGGTTTACACATCCCTGCAAGAACGGAAGAGGTATGTAAAGATTCATTTTTAGGGGGAAGGTCTGTGGTGGGATTCAGCCAGTTCGCACCAGTTTGGTAGAACCAGTAGCTAAATTTTTCTGGAGTTCGGCAAACCGGCTGAAGTGAGGGGCAGGAAGCCCTGCCATGCCCGGCGAGGCGGGGAGAAGAGATGGCAAGAGGAGCCCCGTCTCTCTCCACACACCCCAATGAAAGGCAGCAGCAGTCCGGGTGCTTCTCTTCCACCCCCCGTCTGGTGCTGGAAGTAATTTAACAACTGGTTCGCCCAGGGTCAGGTTGGCCATCACAGGAGGCTCATCCTGTATGTGCGGTGAAGCTGGAGGGCCACGCCTCCCACAATGGCTAACCTGACCCTGGGCGAACTGGTTGTTAAATTACTTGAATCCCACCACTGGGGAGGGTTATAGATATGACACTATATGGACGCCTAGTTTGAAAATCCATACTTGCTTCTGGATTGGGGGCAGAGTCATTCTATACTTCCCGTTCTTTCTTTTACTTCACGGTTCTTTTCTTCAAGGTTTTTGATTTAGTTTGGTTTTAAAATTGATAGATTTCATATTTTGAGAAGCAGTGGTCATCACAAAAAATATAATGCCAATAGGAATTAAATGCATTAAAGCTATAAGCAGTAGACAAGTATCCAAGTTTTCCATTAAAGCAGTCATTTTTGTTTTGGAGAAAGTCATGAATTGAAGGATTTCTACACAAGAAATAGAAAGAACTGTGTGAACAATGTTGTCATATCACCATGAAGCGTTCCGTGGCAGAGAAAGACTCTTCACAAAAGAGCAATATCTCACTGCCTTGTGCTCGAAGGGGCGGTTTGGACCTTCATTATAAGGGATTTTTGACTCACCCTACCTCCCACTTCCTGGGATCCTGCTGTAGCTCCATGCTGATATCTGATTAAGTCAAGGAGCTGAATGAAGAACATGCCAGTGTGCCAGGCATTTGGAAGGCAGCAGAGTTTTGCCACCACAGCAAGCACAAAAAGAGGGGGAAATGCTTGAAATTCATTCTCTTTTATATGGATAAATGTTTTTTAGGCATGGATCTTGAGTGGGTAGGATGAGCCACTTGGTTACAAGCTGGTAACTGAGCTTGTATTATTATTATTTGTACCTACAAGTCAGTTTTTTACTCCTGGAGATTGCCTGGACACATCCTTGCAGTTTTCTTGGCAAGGTTTGTCCTTGCTTCCTTCCTAGGGATGAGAGAGAGTGACTGGTCCAAAATCACTCAATTGGCTTCATGCCTAAAGTGAGACTACTGTAGAACACACAGTCTCCTGGTTTCTAGACCAGAGGCCCCCAACCTTTTCGGCACCAGGGACCGGTTCCATGGAGAGAGGTTTTTCCACAGACCGGAGGGGGTTGTTTCATGTGCTGCCTGCATCCCACAGATGGGGCTTTGCTTGTTACGGCCGGGTTACTGGCATGCCATGGACCAGTGCCAATCCACGAACCGGGAGTTGGGGACCCCTGTTCTAGACCGATGCCTTACCCATTTCACCAAACTAGTTGTCAGTTGAGTTTTTAAGTGAGCACTGATTGACTAACAGTTCTCTGAGCTCAGCTATTAGCCAGCACAGCAATCACAGACTGTCTGATGGTTTACTGCAAACTCTATAAACTCACAAACCTGTCAAATGTGCTCTATAGACAAACAGACATAAAAACAGCCCTGGGGTGGAAGTAAAAGAAGGCAAAATTCTGTACATAACTGGATGTCTGCTCACACAATAATGTTTTCTACTGACATACTTAGTTGTTAAGAGATGTTTATGCAAAAGTAGCATAGTTCCCTATCATTGTTGCTGGAATAATTATTAAATTTTAGATAACACAAAGCAAATAAACATATCTCCTCCACGACAAACCTGTGAGAAGAGTTGGACTGAGAGTGAGCGAGCAATTGGCCCAAAGTCCCTCAGCTGACGTTGCTGCCTAGAACTCACAGTCTCCTGTTTTCTAGGCCTACCTTTTAACCAGTATGTCATACTGGCTCAAATGAATTCTCTCAGTGAATAGGAGAGTATGTAAATGACCCTTGAAGCTTGTTCCAGATTTTAACAGATGTATGCACCAAAGCTTGTGTTAATGCAAGATAGACAGAATGTTGTGTTACGGAGGGAAAGCTCCCAGTTGTGTTGCCTTTGAGGTATTAAATAACAAATTATGTCCAGGCAATATTTATAGTGTTCTTTGTTACGTATCTCAATACCAAAAGGGTTGTTGCTTCCTCTCAGAAGTCTCAAAAGAGAAACATCTTTTTGATCATTACACTCTGAATAGAATCTGCATTTCTAGAAAAAACAAAATGATGGCTGCTAGTTTCTGCCACTCTGCTTTGCCATGGACAAGATTGTCATAATTGCACAAGAGCCATTCTTTATTCAAGGCAAAGTAGCAACTAAGGGTCTTCAGCTGCAGTGGTGGTGCACTCTTAAGGCATGGCTTTACTGCAAGGCGATGGGAGACCTAATTTCCCAGCCACCAATTAGTAAGAAGAATTAGATGGTCAGTTTCTGTAGTTTGGTACACTCGACACACAGCTATGCTAAGATGTTTCACATATAGTGGGACAGAATGGGGAGGAAAGAGCTAGTTTGAGATGGCAAAAATAAAGATGGATTTTTCGATTGCAACAACAATTACAAATGGACAACCATGGTGTATTACAGGTAGTCTTCAGGTTATGATGGCAGATGGGCAGGCCTCGTTTGACCACATCTCTTGCAGGAAGAAGAGCAGCTACTGTGGTGGTAAAAGGTAGCCCCATAGGCATGTGAGCCACAACACTACCAAGACATGAGTCAGAAAAAAAGTGGCCAAGAAAATATCACAACTAAACTTCTCAGACTAGCCTCTCCCAAGTTCACATGAAGATAAAGGGGGAATGCATTCAGACATTTAAGATTCTGTTGCTATAGCTTTACAATAAAAGTAATTCTGATCTACATGGGACTAGTTTTCTAGTTTGGTCTACCCTGAAGAGCTGACAACAGGGGGGAAAACCCCACATCTCCTTTTCATTTTCTGATGATGCTACCAAAGCACTACTACCATTTTGCCTCAGTTTCAATTAGTTCCCAGAACAATAGCTATTTGAATGTACAACCAAGTATGAATGCCTCTCAACTCCGTTCTATGGCACCTGGAGCAACGATAACTGCTCTGTAGGTATTCAATATTTTTTTTTCTTCCAAGAGGTGCAGAATAGGTGTTTTAAGCTTCGATGAATCTCTGTATTTTATTTTGAACTAATTCCCACAAATTCTCCCAAAACAAAAAGCTAGCAAAGGATGGTGTATCTCCTAGTAACTTCATAGTGTCCCAAATATATCTCTGCAGTTCCTTACCTCTCTCTTTGATAAAAAATAAAATATTGCCCCTGACCAGGAAAATCATCCTTAAGCGCTCAATAAGAAGTAGAATACTTATAATAGCAGAAGCTTTCATAAGTTAGTATATTTTG